TAAAGTTTCACAAGTTTTATACAGTCAAATGAAGACAGAAGACTTGCAACGTCATCAAATTCTAACAACACCCTGAATTCGAACTACAATTATTCGATTAGACGTCACAGACAATGCTATGCATATCTAGTGAGGACAAAGTTGTTGAGCGGAGACTGCCTAGTGTTTCAACCAGAACACAACTTGATCGCTAACCTTAGACCAGTTGCTAACTTGAGAAGCGTAAGATCTGAAGTTTATTACTTCATCCGTATGCACAAAAGTGCTCTGATGTTCGAATCACGATGAATAAACTTTCTAATGAGAAAATAAAATCGTTCTTCCTGTGTAAAACTTCCATTCAGCTCAGATAAATCACGACCGATCATACAGAGCCAGGTCGACCAAGCTCTATAGATAAAAATCCAGTAAAGGATTCAAACCAAGTATCGTTGACCGGTATCTAGTACTTTAACGGGAAGATTATCGGGTCACCGGTTGGAAGATTTTTCGATTGACGGTGCCATCAAAAAAATAAAGTGAGCTTCTTTCGGATTGAATTTCTTAAATTCTTCAGTTTGGGATTTCCTGTTATCAGGTTTGAATGAAAAAAGTCCCCTGCTTCTGTCCCAAATGCTTTAAATGTACAACCTCATTGGTAGTCTTGGCAGGCTGGTTCGATCACCACTCTGCCAGTCGGATCGAGCAGTCTGTGTACAAGGCGCATGGAGCCACCTGCTCAAACCAACATGACTGAACACAACTTGGTAGCAAATCTGTGGACCATTCAATTTTAGCGGTCAATGGTCCATGTAAATATGGATGAATGTACTGCTTGCACACCGTGTTTCTCACCGCGAATTCACTGCAATGGACAAACAGCACTAGTGTCAAAGTCTCAAACAGAAAGCAATGCAGCCAAAAATCACCCCTAATTTTGTTTTGGAGCAGTCTGGTTTGGAGATTAGATGTTCTATGGGACTCGTTCAGAATAAGCACCCAAAACGCTCTAATTTGCTGCACGATTGGCTGGAGAATTTATCCCGAATGGGCTACCAACTCGTCTTATCCAGTCAGCCGGACAGTCGAAGATAATTTTCTCATGTCCCTGACTGAAGTTCTGAATTTGCAATGTAGCGATATACTTAGGGATATCTTTGATACGCCGTCCCCTCGATTTTCACTTCATCTG